GCACCTCCCGGCGGGCGAGCGGCGGCGTCTGACCCCGGTAACTCCTTCCCGTGGGCTGCTCTGCGGTGCTGCAGGGGCAGCCTGCCGCGCTTGTGCCTCGGAAGGCTCCTCATCCCCTCACGGTGTTTCACCTCTTGACTTCAAGATCCCTGCCCAATTCACGCGCTTGTTTTTTATTCCTCATTCACCCTTCCTTTCTCTTCGGTCTTGTTAACAGACTTCTTATTTTCTTCCTCAGCTGAAGGCAGGCGTGAGGAGGCAGCGGTAGTTAACGCTGGGAGCGTCGCAGGGCCGGCTGCGTGCGTGGCAGGGTTACCATCACTACGTGGGGATGGGCAGCCATCTCTAGAGAGGAGCGAGTCCCTTTTGAACTGTGTGGAACGCTTCCCTCTTTGCGAGGATTTGGCACTGGCGAGCTGTGTGCCACGTGTTCAAGCCTTCAGGTAGATTCTGTGTGATCTCGAGTGTTTGCTGTTAAATGGCAGTCTGATCACAGTGAGAGACCTAGATTCAGGTACCCAAGTGCAGCAACACCTCGCGATGTCTGTTGCTTCTTCATCCACCATTTCAGAGTTTGGTTGCTGATCACTTAATACAGTGTAATTTCTTATCATTGCCTCGCTTTTCTGTTCTTGTCCATTAAAATACCCGAGGAAGGTGATGGCAATGAAATCTGATAGTGACTAAGTCTTCTGTAACATGATCAGGTATGGAACAGCAGCATCTCCTTTGCTGGATGACTCTGATCTTGGTCTCTTCTATTTGATGAATCAGTGACCGTGACCTTATTCCTGCTTCTCCATCCTGTTGCAAGTAGATTGAGGGAAGTTATCCTTCCCTTTTGTTCAGCACTGATGAGGCTACACCTGGAGTACAGTATCCAGTTCTGGGCTCCACAGTAGCAGAGAAACACAGACATACTGGAACAAGCCCAGCAAAGGGCCATGAAGACAATTAGGGTACTGGAGCATCTCTGCTATAAGGAAAGGCTGAGAGAGCTGGGACTGTTCAGTCTGGAGAAGGATCAGGAGGAGCTTACCAACATATACAAATACCTGAACGGAGGATATAAAGAAGTCTGAGGCAGGCTCTTTTCAGTGGTGCCCAGTGACCGGACAGGAGGCAGTGGACACAAACTGCAACATGACTGAATGTAAGGAAATGCTTTTTCACTGTGAGGGTGACCAAGGACTGGAATGGGTTGCGCGGGGAGTTTGTGGAATCTCCTGCCTTGGAGACACTAGAAAGCTGTCTGGACGTGATCCTGTGCAAGCTGTTTGAAGTGACCGTGCTTGAGCAGGGGGCTTGGACCAGATGGTCTCCAGAGGTCCCTCCCGACTTCAACCGTTCAGAGATGCTCTGCATGCTCTGCCTCATAGGTACTAGTGTGTTTGAAGTCTCTTTCTGAAGTTCCTGCGTATATTCCCCCATATATTACACTAATTCTTATGGGAAAAGTGGCTTTGCTCTGTCAAACTGCTAAATATTAGGCATTTCAGGAAGACATCCCTCGTAGATATTGGGGTGCGGCTGCAGTTTCTTTTGGCCCGACGCTGCTAACTAGTACCAAGGTATACTAAAGCTTAGTGCAAGGTGGTGTGGTCTGAAAAGCTGTGTCATTAGTTAACAGCAGTAGCCCCTCTTGGGAGTTTACAAAACAGTTGTTGCTTCCATGATCTTTAAATATTAAGCATTAAAATTTTATCAGCCAACCTACTATGACCAATTTGGCAATGAGTGTGAGTCTTTTGTCTGAACCTTCTGCTGTCTCTTCCGCAGTTTTCAGACCTGGCAGAGATGTTGCTTCTTTGTTGCCGACAGATTTGGCCTTGTGGAGTAAAGCTTTATTAAAAGCAATGGGTCTTAGCAGCTCTGCAGTATATACAAATCTTGGGAAATTTACTTTCCAAATAACTGTGGTGTTCCTAATTCAAATTGTTTTACACTTGCTGTGGGTAAAGAGCACACACAGATAGTTACTGTAAATCAGATGATTTGCACCAATTTAGACCATAGGCTCTTGTGTGAGCCTTATAATCTGTCTCCATGGAGGCATACAGCCTTT